CTGACAGCAGTGCAACAGAGTCAGATCTTCGTGGCGATTGCTATTCATCTTTGCGTCCAAAGGTAGGTAAGACTCTTTGAGGTGAACGACGCCGGCGCAAAAGTTAAGTCTTGTTTTTGTCACTAAGATGAGATGATGGTGCTAAAACATTTGAACCGCGAGACTTCTTCGATGGTACTGTTTCCATGGAACACCGATTCTAAAGTACCTCCTGGAGTGGTCATCCTTTTTGTCTTTGAATTGTTCAGCTGAAAACCTGCTTTCGCTGTAGTTTTGCACACTGCTTCAATGAGCGTGCGAATGCGTCATCGCCATCGTCCAGTAAGAAGGTGTCATCGACATAGTCATACTCAGTCAGTTATTTCGAGGGGTACCTCTACGTTTGCCTCTGTTCCTACAGAAGGAGTCTACGCAATGCCCTTCAGAGCTATTTAGTATAATGTAATCTGCTACTATACTGAACAGCAAAGGGGAAAAAATATTCCCTTCCTGATCCCTCTACTGATCTCATAACAATTCAAAATCCGTCGCCCCATGAATGCATCATTTGAAATCCTGCCTGAATTACTCTGAAATGCCGTAACCGTTCCAAGAAGACCATCGAAAAGACGTTACCCGGTGTCTACAACAGAGTAATCCCGAAACAGCTCGAGCAGCAGATGTTATCTCGACCTGTGACCGCTGCAAAGTAACTCGGCTACAGTCGTTTCATCGTCTCGTCAGGAATTTTATTCATTTTAACTGACATTCGTTTGTTATAAATTGAGTAGGTAATTATTTTCTTTCATTTATGCTAAAGCAAGAATCTTTGATTCATTTTTTTTCAAGCAGTAAACCTTCAAACCTTTATAAGAAATCTCACCAAGCTGAGACTTACAAAAATCTATCTTATCGTAGAACACAATCTACGTACACGAAAGTCAGACTATCAAAGAATTTGTCTACTGAAGTTTCCCAAAATCGACATTGCCAACGACTGATAAGAATATACTGGAAAGAAGACAAAACAGCCAATGGAATCTTGCAACATAAAAACTCTTAACCGTTGCCTTTCAGACGCACGTGAGGAATTGAAGAACGGCCTTGAAAAAATGCTGAGTAAACTTCGAACGGCATTCAAAAGCCGCCCACTAAACAGAAATCATGTAACTGTCAGAATTCAAACCCTGCAACGTCTTGATCAAATGGTCCAGTGGATTCATAAAAAATATTCTGCAGTGTGCCATCCCGGAAGTTCTAGATCCCACAGAAATGAATATACGCTATCTCCACAATGCGATGAACAGCGAATGCCAGTCGAAATGTGATGATGCGTTATTTCTAGATGCTATGGTCGCTACGAAAGCCTACCATAACGCGCAAAACACTCGGCTAACAAGAATGTGGTAACCAAGGTAAACATCCCCATGGGCTTGAAGTCAATCTGTTTGAGTTTCGACAAAAATTATTACGGTATTGGATCTAAAGATTGAGAGCCGGCAGTATTACTCATCCTCAAAAACAGCATCACGATCTCGTATTCCCTCTGAACAGCGGATGATCACGGTAGTTTTTTTTTTCAAAAAAAAATCCAGCTGACCTACTCGAAGCTCTGCCATAAAACTGTTCAAGCACTGACAATATTTCTCTCAATGAGGCGTGCAGCAATGCTGACCCCTAATACTCTTCGTTTACTCTGGTTCAGCTACTGGCAGCTAGTGAACAAACCATTTTATAGACAGCATAAACTGCTCAGCTGATCTATAGCCCCTCCAAAGGAAAGAGTAAGGCTGGTAAGCAACAACAGACTTACCGTTTGGACATTCTGCGACTATCTCTCGCAAATGACAATAGGTTCCGTCTCTGTGCTTCCATTTGCAGCGTCAGAATCACATCCCTGGTGACATCGTCTTCGCACAAATCTAAAGCACGGAGGTAAGCGATACCTAAGACATCATCAATCAACGGTTACCTAGGGGAGTTTCGCCCGCAGTGGTTTTCGCGCTAATATCAGCCCCAAATTGTACCAGCAGCTCAACGACATCCGGCTAAAAACATCATTAAAACGTCGAAAGTGTACCACCTCAAAACAAAACAACGGTGACCAAACACCGACTGACGGTGTACAAGATTCTCATATGGAAAGCGAATCAAGCAGAAGAAAATCAAT